ATATATATATATATATATATACATAATGGCATTTAAGCGTGCATATTGTTTAAAATAACAGATGACGAACCACCAATACCAACCTGCCCTGATAACCAAGTGCATCAGCTTTCAGTAGGGGAATCTACCATCGCAATAAATTGGACCGAGGCGACAGCAACAGATAATGTTCAGTTGTTGAATATAGAGTTGATATCGTTGATCGAACCGGCAAACTACGGGACTGGTACTTATGAAGTTATGTTTGAAGCAACAGATGTTTATGGTCTCACAGCGACTTGCTCATTCTCAATTACTATTGAAGGTAAAAACAATGTCTATTTAATATGCCTACACACAGAGTTCAGTGTAATAAATATTCACCTACAGTATATCACAATGCCTACATTTTGGTGCTTTTAACATTCGTTATTCCAATTAATTTTTATTCTTGTACTGTAATAATAGAATTAACATGAAATAAAAATACATGTTTGTTGATAGACCATTCCGCTGAATATTGATACAGTTGTTCCTCAAAACAACAGCGTATGCTTACGTAAACGGGTGAGTTTTGTAATGGGAGACAATGCGTGTGTTTGTTAGACAAGCGCATAATAATGGCTCTGTTCTAATTGGTCAGTTGTTAAGGCGAAACTTTTTTAATACCTTGTTTAGCGAACCTGCTGCCTACCAATAATGATGATTTCGAATAAAAATAAAAGGATTTTTTATATTTTTATAACGCTCACCGCTGCATTGAAATCTCCAAAAATAATTTGTGTATATTTCTTCCTAATTATGACACTTTGTGCATTCACCAATAAAATTTTATTTTTATTTTCTCCTTTTGGAAAAACTTTCCGCCTTTCTCTAACGATCTTTAAAAAAAAAAAAGTTCGCGAAACAAAGTATAAAAAAGTCTCGCCTAAGTTTTATTGACACTATCCAGAGAGGTCTATTGAAGTAAAAATCTAATATTATCAAAGAGCTTAAATAGCAGAAGAATGAGCTGTTCCGCGTATTTGCATTAAAAACGATGGAACATCCGCCCTCATGCGGTTGCAGTAAAATTTGAACATTTTACTAAGTGGAGAAACTACAGGAAACAAACGAACCAGAGCGGCGCCTTTATTATTACTATATAGCGCCGCCGCGCGGATGCAGTACAATTTTTCTCCGTGTACCCACAATGCATTTCGACCGGATGTTCCACTATTTTGCGAAGCTGCTCTATCTTCTGCTATTTATTATCTTTGATATTATGTTAAAGCCTTTGATCAAGGTAATTCAACAGAAGGACGCACATCTCCGCTCTCGAACATAGCGCGTGCGTACAGTCCTTTGATCTTTACTGTGGCATCGACAATCCGATACTAGTTGCGAGTACAGCCATCAATTATTAGTCTATGCGTGCCATATGTTTTATGGTGTTAGTTACTATTTTACTAATTTTGGGTACTTCGCAATGTCTGTTACATCTGATATCTTTTGACCGCGAGCTTGTTAAATGCTTCTATAAAATGCAATTTGATTTGTGAAAATTGACCAAAAAAATGAAAAGTTATAGCAATTGAAATTTATGAATTTTATAAAATGTTCATGTTCTTATGTAACATTAAACTGTCATGTTGACAATGTTGGACTAAGATGCACAAAACGAACATTTGAGTAGATACAGAACATTTATTAATTTTTTCTGCGAAGTGAGTCTCATGAATGACAATACACCACAATATCGGTAAAATTAATGTTGAAATGAATATAATTTCAGTCCAATGTTAGTGCAAAATATCATTAGGCCTTTGTAATCAACGCACGACGCACGATTATCCTGGCAACTAACACGCGCATGGGTAATTCCTCACATACGTACGCTGACGGTTTATGGTCTGGTTGCTATGGTTTTTGCGAATGTCGATGCAAGAGTTATAACCTTTGATGTCCCAAAATGTGCGTCCTTTTGTTGAATTGCCTTGCTTTGATATACAACAGACGTTTTCTATTCTGTTTGTTAGACTCGGTGTGTCCTAACACTTTCCGTCGATGTCCTGTAACAAACGGAGAATGTATTTCTCTACATCAATTCTGTGATAAAAAGATGGACTGTCCCGACTGGTCAGATGAAAACGAAATTTCATGTGGTAAATTAAAGTGAACAATATTGATATAGGCCTATACAGGAATTATAAATGCTATCCTTTAAAAGCACATGTGTTGCATATACTCATGTAATAATGAGAGTAGCGTGTGCTGCATACTGAAAATTTGGTAGTGATAATATTCATCAATCTTTCAACTAAGTCAAAGTGTCTTTTAGTAATTTTATATATATATATATATATATATATATATATATATATATATATATATGTAGTATATTGAGTACA